GAGAGTGAGAGAGAGAGATTATGATCAGACAGCGTTTATGTTCAGACAGATACATGTAATTGTGAAGAATCATTAAATAACTATTAACCACACCTGCTCAGAGCCTCTGGGCCGTGTTGCACAGTCTTAAGAGCTGCCATCCCCCTTACGTCATGCTAAACAGAAGGGAGGGGGAGAAATACCTGGGTTTAGTACAGGATCAGAAAGTAAAATATTATTTGGAGTTTGGAGCCAATTTGCTGTCTGCCAGTGATTCCATAACCTGGCACACCCAATGCAACCTTTTGTACACATCTATCAGCAGTTCTGGTTTGTTTGCTTAAAACAAAGCCTTACTAAGATTCTCTAAAGGTGTCTGTGATGCAACAATTAGTTGACTGTCAGTTGTCTTCTTACGAGCTCCACTAGTTTATATGTCTGTCGCACTTGACAAGAGGACCACTGTTGGAGGTGAATGTGGCCCAACTAGCTTGCACCACACCCGATAAGTAGGCTGGAGATTAGTTGCCTTTTGCATAAGGCAAATTCATAGATTGCAAGAAGCCAGTGTGGTGTAGTGGTTAAGAGCAGTGGACTCGTAATCTGGTGAACCTGGTTCACTTCCCCGCTTCTCCACATGCAGCTGCTGGGTGACCTTGGGCTAGTCACACTTCTCTGAAATCTCTCAGCCCCACTCACCTCACAGAGTGTTTGTTGTGGGGAAGGAAAGGAAAGGAGATTGTTAGCTACTTTGAGACTCCTTAAGGGGATTGAAAGGCAGGATATCAAGTCCAAATTCTTCTTAGCCGTGTAACAGAGGGCATGTAACCGCTTGGTCTGCTGTTTATCCAAGCACAACCGGGCCACAATTTCACCACACACCTGCACCTCCTGTGAGCAGCGCTGGCCCACCCAATATCTGAGGTGAATCCCTTGCCTCAGACGGCAGTTCAAGAGGAGCAGCAGATCCGTATCTCCTCGGCCTGTGCACCGCTGCCTAGCCTGCCCACAAAGATGCCCACGGCTGCAGCTCTGACCATCCACAGTAGGTTCCCTACCAACTGAACTAAAGGGTCAGTACAAACAACTATTAGCCAGCGTGGTGTAGTGGTTAAGAGTGGTGGACTTGTAATCTGGTGAACCGGGTTCGCGTCTCTGCTCCTCCACATGCAGCTGCTGGGTGACCTTGGGCCAGTCACACTTCTCTTAAGTCTCTCAGCCTCACTCACCTCACAGAGTGTTTGTTGTGGGGGAGGAAGGGAAAGGAGAATGCTAGCTGCTTTGAGACTTCTTAGGGTAGTGATAAAGTGGGATAACAAATCCAAACTCCTCCTCCTCCTCCTCTTCTTCTTCTGCCATACTGTGTTCCCCTACTGCCTCCTGAAGCCATATATATCTATGGTCTATGCCAGGGCATATCTCTCACACCCTGGAAGCCATTTCCCTGCATGCTGATCCCTGGTCATTCATGGTGATGCTTCAAACATGACACAGTGACAGACAAAACTAACCAATTGGCTGCAATTTTTGTGATGCATTGCTAACCAGCTGGGGCTACCCAAATGAACATGTTAAACAAGTTGCCCTGTACATGTTAAATGAGACAGATTGTCTTTCCAAATTTTGGAACAGTTATACAGGGAACACTGCAGAGCAGCCGTTCGTAAGTGGTGGATTGAAACCAGCTGGTGGTTTACAGAATCCTTTGTAAGAGGGATGCCAGCATACAGACCATGCTTGTCTAGAGAACCTCTATTTTCTAGCTAGCCACAAATTGCCTGGCCAATCTGAAGCCTCTTACTGGGTTCAAAACAGGCAGAGAAATGGCATATCAACACTCTCTCCAGCTGCTTGCAGGTGTACCCAGAGTGCACCATCAGTTGCTGAGTAAGAGCAATTTGAACCCCGATGACCTAAGCAGCCAGTCCATCTTCCTGCATTACCACCCAATCATCACCTCTCCTGTTTGTCTTTTCTACAGATCTGAGGGCTTAGACTGGCTTTAAGGATCTTTATACAGCTCTCAGGTTCTTAAAGGCATTAAAATCTATAAAAGTCATCGCTATAAGGGAGAGCTTGTGGACACAGCAAAGGGACCGTCAGAAAAGTATGGAGGGATTATTCTGCTTTTAATTGTGCTTTTTTTCTCTGATAGAGGCCTGCAGCTAAAGAGTTGGATGGTTATTTCAAAACCAGTAGGTGAATTATTCAGCTCTTCAGCAATTGGCTGTGCAAAGTTCCCACTCTGTTTTGTCTCTTCCACTTTTCTTTCTTTCCTCAGACTGATAGATATGGTCTTATCCACTTTCCCTGTCCAGTAGTATAGGGGTGGCTAAAGTGTGACCCCCCAGATGTCATTGGCTACAACTCCCATCATTCTTAACCATTGGCTATTGTTATGTACTAAGCTTGGATCCTAGAACAATAGGCTGGTAGGATCTTAGAATGCAACAACTGATTGGCCTGCAGGAGAAGACCAATCAGGCTCCAGGAGGGAAGCAGAATCAGCCAATCAGACGGGACTCATTGTGTAAATAATGTATATAAAAGCCTGAGGTTTGGGGGGCAATTCAATCCCTGTTTTACAAGCTGCAATAAAGAGCATGAAATCACTACAGGACTCCAAGTATATTTCAGCTGTGCTGGCTGGGACTGATGGGAGTTCAACAATATCTGGAGGGTCACACCTGCTCTAGGGCACTCACTCTTGCAAGGACCAACCCTCTTGTCCAAACCCACTTGCTTTTCCTGCCCCATGCATTGTCTACCCCACCTGTCTCACAATGCAACCCTATGCATGTCGACTCAGAAGCAAGCCCTTCCATGGGAGGTAAGGATGTGCAGGATGCGTAGGATTGCAATATTGTTCTCTTCTGCCTACCCTGACTTTCTCTCATCTAGAGCATAGCAATGGTAGCTAAAATCTGTTCTTCCTGCCCCACTCCTCTGTGACACAAGGGCAACTCAGCCAAACCATGACCAAAGACTCTACCACCCCTAAAACCATTACAGCAGTTACAATGTAATTTGCCTAAATATTTTTAAATGTTCAGGCTTGAAACATGGATTTATCATGAGCAAACATATCTAACATATAAAGTGCACTTGAGAAATCAACAAATTGATCCGCTATTTTTAAAGTGTCTTATATTTATATCCCGCCTTTCTTCTATGAGCTCAATAAATCAAATGTGTGATTCTCAGAAGGTCTCCTATCCAGGCACTGAGCAGACCCAGAACTACTTAGCTTCTGCAATGTGGTAGCCTCATGTGCCTTCAACCCATATCCTGGGACCAGCAATGCTTACAGAGCTTACTGGCACTTAGGGAATATTGTGTGACTGTAAAAACAGCTAAACAACTAATGGAAGGGTCGGCTTGAAGCTCTGCAGCCTCCTGAAGATACATACTATTTTTCACATATGGAAACTTCTTCCTTTCTTTCTGGAAGTGTTGCTTCAGGATGGAACGAGCAACGACTGCTGTTTCAATATTTCTCATAGACCTCCTCCCAGCTAAGGGAACTGTTGAATGCCTCAATTTGAAATCAATTGCACTGGTTGTCAATTTGTTCCAGACTAAGTTTGATGGGCTGATAACTATCTGGACTTGAAAGGCTATCTACATGGCCATCTTCACTCATGTGAACCTATCCAAGCCTCACGTTCAGCATGGGGGGGGGGGTGCTGATTGGTGGATGCTGGAAATGTGGTCTTTTTGGATTGTGGAATTCTCTCCCAGGGGAAGTGCAATAGGCTCCTTTTCTTGCTTTTATTACTTTCTGCTGTTTTTATCATTATTGGCTGGATTTTTATTTTTTTTAAATAATGGTAGTTATAATTCTTATGCGATTTTTATATTGCATTTCATTGTTGTCCCTATATATTTAAATGTAAGCCCCTTTGGAAAATTCATTTGAAAGGCGGTAAAGAAATCAGTTTGGTAAATAAACAGATATTTCCTTACTTTGATGAGCTGAGTCCCTTTCATGACAACAAAGCTCTCTTCTTCCTTGTTACATCCAGAATCCATGGGCATTTCTTAGAAACCTACTATGAACAATGAAGCCTTGACTAACAGCAGCAGCAGCAGCAGCAGCAGCAACAACAACAACAACAACAATTTATTTATACCCCTTCCATCTGGCTGGGTTGCCCCAGCCATGTAAGGAAGACCAATGAACTATATGGGAAGTTTGGTTTGACACGTCATCTCAGGCATTATTCGTTTCAGTTCATTAGGGCTGTATATATCCCCGAGCATCACAGCTGCTCTTTTCCTTTTTCCTTTTCTTGTCTGGATGTCTCTCCAGAGTTTCTTCATTCTTTCTTTGCAATCTGACTCATGCTTTAGATCATCAGCAACGAGATGGGGTTTTTTTTAAAAAGGCTTTCCATTGCATCTTCCTTGGTCCAGGAAAAAGGTGTGTGCCACCACCAGTTGCCTTAGCTAATCAATAATCATGATGGCAGCACTGGTTTCCACTGAAAGAGTGCCAGAACATTTCAACTAGACTGAGCTAGTAAATGCTGGGGATTCCAGATTTGATGACAGATAGATGAAGTATGCCCTACTTGGCTCCCCAAGCTGTTTATCCTGGTTGTGATAAGACCTGTCAGGAGAAATTTTGGGGAACCTGTCTTTTCATGTTTACTAGAGTTGCCACTGCAGTTTGCCTAAAGTGAAATTGCAGGCAAATTTGGAAGGTGCATCAGGTGAAACATTGGAAGAAATGTCGAGGCAAGTTGAAATGATATTAATAGGAGTAGCAAGTTCAGTTTTGTACATCTCTTGGGTTGTTCACTGTGGCTTTCCCTCCCCTCTCTCAATCACTCACGGCGAAGAAAGATGTAATATTTTTAGAGCATTGGGTCCCACTTGAAGCTCTCTCAATAGGTTCAGTACAAATGGTTTGTGGAGACATGTGGGAAAGGGCCATAGCTCAGTGGCAGAGCACATCTTTTCGCAGAATCATAGAATTGTAGAGTTGGGAGGGACCCTGCAATGCAGGAATGGACAGCTGTCCCATACAAGGATTGAACCTGAAACCTTGGCGTTATCATCACTACGCTCTAACCAACTGAGCAGAAACCCCTAGGTGCAATCTGAGCAATCTCCAGGGCTTGGGAAAGACACCTTTCTGAAACTTTGCAAAGCCATTGACAGTCACTGTAGACCAGAGGGTGGGAAAACCTTATTGACCACTATGGAGCAGCTTTGATACGTAGGTGGTCAATCATTTGATGTTAGGTGGCTGAAAGGCAGGTTGTTCCACCCAGCTGATAAAATTGCCCTTAGGGGTAGCAGGAGATACTGCCGAAGAAGCTGATGTGTGTGTGTCGGAGGGGAATTTCAGTCCTGCTCTCTGGCTTTTCTGTGTTTCCACGGTGCTTGACATATATTATCCATAAAGGCAGGGCTGGCTAATGCCTCCAGAATTTGGGGAAACAAGTGAGACTCCCTTTGCTAAGTCAATAGCCAGGGAGGATGGGAGTTGTAGTCCCAAACGTCTGGTGTGCTCCCTGTTGGCTACCCTGGTGTGATGCTTCACACCAGTTATTTATTTTTGTATGGCTTTCTTCAGGTACATTTGACTCCAATACGAGATTGGTACAGTCAATTTTTCTATCGACAGAGGTTTTAGTGAAGCTATCCATGATTTGTACTGGGGACTGTATGCACATGATGCGGGATTTTTCTTAGGCCCATTAAAGTGGAGCCAGCATCATGCATGCAAGAGTGTGACCTGACCACAAAACTAGTAACAATCAGCTAAGTAGGAACCTAACAGCTGAATGCTAAAGTGAAAAAACAACAACAACATCTCCATATAATGTACAAGGAGGGTTCTGATATGTACGGGGGGGGGGGAAATGAGTTGAGGAAGTATTTCAAGGATTGTGCTTGAATGAGAGATTATGGGGTGCTGGCGACAGAAGGTGGTTTGGTAGAGGCTGAGCAGCTAAGATGTCATATATTTCCTATATAGGGTGTGTCCTAATGGAAATGTTCTCTCAGACTCTTTGAAATCTCTTCAGTAATGCATTACTGAATAAAGTCTGACCAATTGGGAATTTGCTGTGAGCTTCTGAAGCTGAACCCCCAACGGGAATTTCCTCCACATGCGCTACATTATCTCTTTACATTCAACATGTCCGGGGCTGTGGTCTAAACCACTGAGCCTCTTGGGCTTGCCAATCAGACAGTCGGCGGTTCGAATCCCCATGACGCGGTGAGCTTCCGTTGCTCTGTCCCAGCTCCTGCCAACCTAGCAGTTCGAAAGCACTCCAGAGCTTGTTGCTTGTGGGAAGCAACACAGGTAAGGATTCAAGTACCTTTAAAAAACTCATTGGATTTTCCACTTGTGATTCACCTCCAGCTTCCTGTAATACCGCGTATGTAATATGGCATAATATGTGTACTGCAATATAGACTAATGGGGAAGTGTGTTGTACACATGGGCATAAAAGCTATGAAAATGGGTCAGGCTTCTGGTGGCTCATGCTCATTCATCCTCTAGACATGGTTTCCTGGCACAGCAGTTTCACTTGACGAAAGATCGTCACTCAGCAAGTTATGTAAGAACGGCCGAGTTTTAACAATTCAATCAAGCAGTTCAATTGACTTAACAATAAGACTATTTCCAATGAACACCACCTTTTAGCAAGCAACATTGTGATTGACAACTGTGAAATAGTAAAAGTAGCAATTTTTATGTGCTAATAAATATTTCTAGATATTTGAATGTATTGGCCTGTCAGCAAATGTTTCCCAGATCTCTTCCTACTGAGTATTCAGCAGCTATCTGGAAGCAACCCCAGTTACTTTGAAGCAACTGTTTTGAGTAGGCTTGTGGATCAGTGTTTCCCAGTCTTGGGTGTCCAGCTGTTTTTGGACTACAACTCCCATCATCCCTAGCTAGAAAGACCAGTGGTCAGAGATGATGGGAACTGTAATCTGGAGTCCCAAGGCTGGGAAACACCGCATTAAGTTCACTTCACACTGAGAATAGACAGCTACCTGGAGAGCATTACAGTGGTACCTCGGGTTAAGTACTTAATTTGTTCCAGAGGTCCGTTCTTAACCTGAAACTGTTCATAACCTGAAGCACCACTTTAGCTAATGGGGCCTCCCGCTGCTGCCATGCTGCCAGAGCACGATTTCTGTTCTCATCCTGAAGCAAAGTTCTTAACCTGAAGCACTATTTATGGGTTAGCGGAGTCTGTAACCTGAAGCATATGTAACCTGAAGCATATGTAACCCGAGGTACGACTGTATGTTATAAGGTGGCATAAATAAATAAAGCCAATGCCAGTAGTAAGCATTTTGATGGCACCTTTTCGTAAATGCTCTACGAATATATTGCAGTAATTGGTACAAAAGTCCTTTAGTTAACTTAGGCTAATCTATCCCCATATTACAGATGGGTGTGGGAGGTGTTAGGAAATAATAATGTGCCTAAAACTACCCAGTGATTCATGGTTGAGCTGAAATATGAACCAGCACTGGTATAACTTATGCAGGTAGAAGCTACCCTGGCACTCTGTAGTTAAGATGGCTCCTTTAAAGCACATTTCCCCAACAAAGAATTCTGGGCGCTGTAGTTTACCCCTTACAGAGTTACAATTCCCTGCAGCCATTGACAAACTACATTGCCCAGAATTCTTTGAGGGAGCAAATGTCATGTGATCGATTATGCGGGGAAGGGCTTCCCTAGGCCTCCCCAATATTTTTTGCAAGTTGGCATCCCTTGAGCATCTGCCTTGCATGCATATAGTCCCAGGTAGGGCTGGGGAAAGCACTTGTGTGAAACCTTGGGGAGCTTCTGCCAGTCACTCTAGACAGCGTTGAGATAAGTGGACCAATGGTTTGACTCAGTATAAGTGTTATGTACTGAGTTGAATAGGATCCAAAAGGCAGCAGTCTGATTGGTCCTAGAACAATAGGATTCAGAATGCAGCAGTCTGATTGGTCCACAGGAGCCACCCAATCCAGCTCCAGGTGGAAGTGAATCCGCAACCTGATTGGCCTACAGGTGAATCCCGGAATTAGCCAATCACGTGGGGCCCATTGTGTAAATAAAGCAGACATTCTGGGGGAACTTCCATTCCTCCTCACCACTATGAGCTGAATAAAGAGCATGAAATCCACTCTCGACTCTGAGTATATTTTAGTAAGTGAGCTTCCTATGACTGGGTGGGGGAAAGGCACTGTGGTGAGCCTGTGTGTGCGTGGTATGTCTAACCATTTCTCCCTCTGCCATTTTCCCAGTCTAAATGGCTCCTTCTAAAGTTGCTAACCATACAGGTATCATACCGCCCCCCCCTCTCCTAGTGCCAATTGTCTCAGTTCAGCTCAGCTCAGTGGTACTCCACCATGGCTGCTTCTGAAAGAAATCAAAAGAGATCTCATTGAACTTTGGCGTCCCATCTAGTCTCAGCAGCCCATTTGTCATGTGGAGGAGATTGAAAGTCTGCTCTGTGTCTCTTCAATGTGCTCTGTGGGCCCAAAGTACCATGTAAGTGCTAAAGATGGTGATGACAAATTTGGAGCATATTATGGTCAGAGGCAGTAATGCTGCAGACCACAGGAGAGAGCGCTCATGTGCTCGGGTCCTGCATGAAAGTGTCCCACAGGCATCCAGTTGGCTGCTGTGAGAACAGGATGCTGTCATAGCTGGGCCATTGGCCTGATCCTGCGGGCTCTTGTTATGTCATCACAGATAACCTTTCTTACATATGGATAAGTGTAAATGATGATGGGATAGCAACCTGGTTTCAGATGTCTGCAGGAAGAATTGTGGCCACTCATTCACACCTTTTGAAGGTAGAACTAAATGTTCTACATGCTACTGGCTTTGCTGTTGTTGTTTAGTTGTTGAGTCGTGTCCGACTCTTCGTGACCCCATGGACCAGAGCACACCAGGTCCATGGGGTCACGAAGAGTCGGACACGACTAAACAACTAAACAACAACAACAGCAAAGCAGGGCACTTGGAGTCATTGTGTTGCCTCTTTTCATCCATCTTTACGTTAATTTGGAACATTTCACTGAGAGCACGGATGCTTATCACAAAGGAGATATAATTTAAAGCAAATGTCCAAAACATATATGCAAATTAATGCATCCAAGGCACAGTAGAGTGCAAAGGGAAATCTTAATTCTACTATAGAAGCTTCAGAGTCAGGTTAATGTCCATTTCCAGAAGAGCTGAGGAACCTGTGGCCCTCCAGATGGACTACAGCTCCCATCATTCTCTAGACCATTGGCCTGCACTGACTGAGGCTGATGGGAGTTAGAGTCCAACAGTGTCTGGGAGGCCACATGTTCTTCAGCACTGCTTGAAAAGAAATGTGGTCCATTGAGGCCAATGCCACCATTATGGTTGCCAAATCCTTTCTGTTTAACAACTGCATGCCTTGGATGAATTGAATAGACATGGCCTTTTCCCAACACTGAAGTTCTACCATGGAGAAGGTGGGGTTGGTTGCATTTCCTTCGGCCATGCAACTCTGAGTGTGCAAGGATTACAGTGGTCGACTCCTTTCTAGGCGAGTCCCTGTGCCTCTCACAGCTAAAAAATGGGCAACCACCATAAGGATATTTTACCTTGTTCTACTTGCAAGCCTTTCACTTCAGACTCAGTACTGAAGCTAATTCAGGGTAAGGTGTCTTTATGACTGCAGTTTAATTGTGGTGATTAGAAAATGCAGCGCTAGGAAGAGGGTGAGTGAAGTAGGACACAGAATGTATTTGCTCTATAATTGAGCGTACTTCAGAAAGGAAATTGTTACGAGGTTATTGACTAAGGTTCAGATAACCCAATAAAAAGATTCAATATTGAATAACAACGATCTGACATTATTTTATCTCCTGCATCACAAATTAATTTGTCTTTCAGATCCCCGGGGCCAGACTTCATGGAGCCCATTATTTGTAACTCCAAGTAGTGTCAACAAGCAGCAGTAACCCAACTAATCTGCCTGTTAGTGACAGGTGACTTTGCTTAATAATGCTTTAACAATTGTCATAATGTCCTTTCGGGGTTGAAGGCCTAGTTCAAACATTAGCTAATTAATCACCACAGCATTTGCCTCAAGTATTATTGCCGCTCACCGCAGAGATGGTAAACAAGTGTGAATAGGCTTGTCATAGTGATAGAGGAAATTGAGATGGGGATGACCACATTATGCACAGATTTTTTCCATTAGAGCTGCTCTGTGGGCCATAACTACACTGCCATGTTTGGTGCTTCTGTTTCTACAGCATGGGCCTTCATGTTCAGATGGCTTCTCTAAATGGCACAGTTTTTGCTTACAATGCAGCTGCTGGGTGACCTTGGGCCAGTCACACTTCTCTGAAGTCTCTCAGCCCCACTCACCTCACAGAGTGTCTGTTGTGGGGGAGGAAGGGAAAGGAGAATGTTAGCCGCTTTGAGACTCCTTAAAGGGAGTGAAAGGCGGGATATCAAATCCAAACTCTTCTTCTTCTTCTTTGGTTGTTTGTTGTTTCCAGTGAGAATAATTTCCATGTTATGTATTCCAATTTGACCCGCACGCTAGTGTATATGAAACCTCATGAGGACAATACTCTGTTAGAACTACCCCCTGCCCTGCATGGAGGACTCCAGAACTCAACTCATCCCTTAGGTCAGCAAGACCATCTTCCTGGGCAGCAGCAATCCATGATTCAAGGAAACTCTTTCAAGTTGAGTTTCTGCTAAATTGTGTGTTGTTGAGACAACGGCTCCATTTGTTTTGAGGAGATGGAACAACCCACTAGCCAGTCCCAGGGGATTAGGAGATGCTGTCTCAGCATTCCAAATTGGGCTGAGATTCGTGGAAGCTTATTTATGCATGCGTGTGGATGATTTCATGGTTTTAATGATGCTGATATTTTGATCTTTTTTTACTGAAATGTCCGTACAGTGCCTTTGGAACCTTGGTTGAAAAACAACAAATGAAAGGGGGTGGTTGACACCATGGATGAAATGGAGAGGCCCTGCAACTCAGTGGTACATTGGACATTTTTGCATGCAGAAAGGCCCAAGTTCAACCCCTGGTAAAAGGTAAAGGTAAAGGATCCCTGGACGGCTAATTCCAGTCAAAGGCGACTATGGGGTTGCAGTGCTCATCCCACTTTCAGGCTGAGGGAGCCAGCATTGGTCCACAGACAGCTTTCTGGGTCATGTGGTCAGCATGACTAAATCGCTTCTGGTGCAATGGAACACTGTGATGGAAACCAGCGTGTACGGAAATGCCGTTTACCTTCCCGCTGGAGCGGTACCTATTTATCTACTTGCACTGGTGTGCTTTTGAACTGCTAGGTTGGCAGGAGCTGGGACAGAGCAACGGGAGCTCACCCCGTTGCAGGGATTCAAACTGCTGACTTTCTGATTAGCAAGCCTAAGAGGCTCAGTGATTTAGACCACAGCGGCACCTGTGTCCCTGGTACATCCAGTTAAAAGGGGTGTTTGCACTGATTGGCAGTGGCTCTCTAAGATTTCTGAAAGTGTTCTATCCCAGCTCTACCTGGGGATGTTGAGGATTGAATGTGGGACCTTCTGGATGGAAATCAGATGCCCTTCTGGTAGCATATGGTAGGGTGGTGCTCACCTGACCTAATTACCCGTGTTACCGCTGTGTACGGGGATCGAGAATTGGGAGGTGGTGGTGAAGTTGGCATGGTGCAAATGCACCAGTGGAAGTGCCGGATGGCTCTCACACTCTCCCTCCTGGTATGCAGTACCATCGTGCCATCCCACCATAGTCTACTGGGCCCTTCCCTGTAAGTGAAGGTAGCAGGTGACAGGAACCTGGTGAGCCTGAACCTGAGAACCTGGTGAGCTTGTACCAGACAAACTAGGCAATAAAAAGGTAAAGGGACCTCTGACCATTAGGTCCAGTCGTGACCGACTCTGGGGTTGCGGCGCTCATCTCGCTTTATTGGCCAAGGGAGCCGGCGTACAGCTTCTGGGTCATGTGGCCAGCATGACTAAGCCGCTTCTGGCGAACCAGAGCAGCGCACGGAAACGCCGTTTACCTTCCCGCCAGAGTGGTACCTATTTATCTACTTGCACTTTGACGTGCTTTCAAACTGCCAGGTTGGCAGGAGCAGGGACCGAGCAACGGGAGCTCACCCAGTTGCGGGGATTCGAACCGCTGACCTTCTGATCAGTATGTCCTATGCTCTGCGGTTTAACCCACAGCACCACCCACGTCCCTAAACTAGGCAATACTTGTCTACTAGTTGATTTTGTGCAAGGCAGTGTCCTCTGTTCTCAAGGGAGGTGGTTGTAGACTCTTGGTTTCTTTTTTTGTGGAAGCCATAAGTCTCCACTGGCACCTTTTAGTGCCCTTGCTCTCACTTGCCATCTCCATCCCTACCTCTACTGTCTGTCCCTGGCAGATTTATCCCACAAGACTTCATGGTTTCCATTTCCTAGAGCCCTCCAGATGTTGCTGAACCACAACACTCATCAGTCCCAGCAAGCATAGCCAATGGCCACGGGTGATGGGAGTTGAAGTTGAGCAACATCTGGAAGGTCAAAAGTCCCAGAGGGATATTAGTCCAGAACTACAGGCACTTGAATTCAGGATGGGTGGACTTTCAATATAGAAGTGATAAACTTGAGCTGCCTGGGACCTGATTTTTGTGGGATATTTAAATAACCAAAGCCCCATAACTTATAATTGTGCTATACCCTTTGCTACTGCTGTTACCTATTCAAGACTTACCTGTTTTTATATATCATCTTGAAAAAATACATGTAGTAATGATTGCTAAACTGTTTAAGGAATTTATCTATTTATCGCCAGGTTTATGTCAGCAATTATTCCTCCTAAGCCGTTTGTTTGTTTATCCATCTCTAATTTGCATGCTCCTGATTTACATTATGTTACCAGAGAATGACTAAGGAGCAAATTATATAAAGATAATTGCGTATATGGAATTAAAAGATGACTCATCTAAATCAGCATTATACTTTATTTGTGGTCTTGGGCGTCTCAGTGAAAGCCCTGCAATTGTTGAGACTGAAGAGTCTATAGAGTGCCAGCCATTGAAATCCTAAGTAAAAACATGGCACTAGACAGAGAAGTTTCATTTAATTGAGAATGGAGTGAACATTTAAATAGACATCTACAGCTGAATGGCAGCCATATTACATTTGAAGGTTTATGCTTAAACTACTGCTTAATACCATTCTTCTCTTAACAATTGCTGGCATGACAGCAGAGTGCTCAAAACCTTTTAATGGGGCATCTTTGTGCTTCTGCAATAAGCAAAAGGCCTTGCTGGTTTGAATGCTGGATAAATTGATATACAGACTAGTTTTTATCATTTTGGAAGCCCTGTCTTCACATTTACTCAGAAGTAAGTCCCACCAAGGTCAGAACGACACTTGCTTCAGCAAATATGTTTTCGAACCTCGGCTTGCCAAGACAATGGGAAATGTGGCTATTTGCAGGGCAGAATACAGTAAGCAGGGAGGAATGAGGAAAATTTATGCCCTTTTTATATAGCTACCAATTCTTTCCTTCACTTGTTCCATCTCAGCTCCCGCCCACACCACTAATACATAGATTTTCATGCATATTTTACCTCAGTATATTCATTTTTTGGACACATTACTTGGCTGGAATACTTTTTGGATGGGATTTTGGACAACAACAACAACCAGGTGAAGGGAATGGTTTTCAGCATCCCCCTCCATCTCTTGTTTCTCTGCTGATCAAATTGAAGGTATTTTGTGGCTGCTTTTCATTTGAAATGAAAACCTCACCAGGAGGCTGTCAATGTGAGTTTGTCTCATTTGACCACTAGTTTTTAGGAAAATAACAAAGTTTTCAAGTTGCAAGATCCAGAGACTTTTAACGGTACCTTTTTAAAATTGTTAAGGCTTTTTGGGCCCAGGAAGCCCATACGTACATAAGACACTGTCTTTGGCTACATGACAATTCCCCTGGGATACTGCATAAGACAAAGCAAGGGACCTCTGGAGCCTGACCACCTCTGAGTTGATCCATTTGTGTGACAAAATCCTTTCTTAGCTTGCTTTCAGGAGAAAAAAGGTGGGCCCTAGCAGTATGGAAGCTGGCCATCCCAGGTGTAAAGAATTGTGTGTCAACATGAGAGGATGGGACGTAGTAAGATGAATTCTGTTGGATCAGAGCAGAGGCCCATTTGGTCCAGCAATCTGTTCTCACCATGGCCAACCAGATACCTCTGGGAAGTCTGCAATGATTGCAGATATGTAGTCCTGTGATTATATATATATATATATATATATATATATATATATATATATATATACACCGTATTTTCGCTCCACAAGACGCACCTAGTTTTTGGAGGAGGAAAACAAGAAAAAATATATTCTGAATCTCAGAAGCCAGAACAGCAAGAGGGATCGCTGCGCAGTGAAAGCAGCAATCCCTCTTGCTGTCCTGGCTTTTGGGATAGCTGCACAGCCTGCATTCGCTCCATAAGACGCACACACATTTCCCCTTACTTTTAGGAGGGAAAAAGTGAGTCTTATAGAGCAAAAAATACGGTATATATTATCAATATGCTTGGGGGGGGGGACGCGACAAGGGGGAAAGCTAATGGATAACTTCACTTATTTTGTTCCATTAAGAATGTATATGCCCATATTTGTGTCTGAATCTCTTCTTATAGATCAGGGTTCCCCAAACCTGACCACTGGTGCTTCTAGGAGTTTGTAGTCCAAAAGCAGCTGGAGACCCAAGTTTGGGAAACACTGTTATAGATCATAGCGACAAACCTCTCAGGTGGGCCAGCATATTATGAGGGTGGGGGGATGAGAGACAATGACTTGTGCCAGGCTACCGGTGAGTTCAAGGCTGCAGTGGGATTTGAACCAGAGTTTCCCAGCAAACAGTTTTGGAAAAGACCTTGTGATGAATGAACCTGGCTTTTCAAGGCATTCAGAACCCAAAGCAAAACTCGCTGCTCTTGAATGCGACTCCTCCAGCTCTGCCCTTTTACTTACTGGTGTAGCAGTTGGAAAGGCGTGCAAAATAATAATAATTGCAGAATGGATTCAGTAAGAGACAAGAGGGTGCAACTGAGGATCATCAATTTTAACGGCGTCTCTCCCTCTCCCTCTCCTTGTTAAAGGGGTGTGAATCAGCTTACCTGTAAACTTTAATAACTTGGAAGATGACCTCAGTCTTCATAAGTGCTTGTTAAAGGATTTTCTCAAACAGACCAGTAACACCTGCAGGCTCATTTATCACCTACTGGTTATCCCACCTACACATCGAAGAATGATGCCTGAAATAATGTTTAGACAATAAGCTATGTGGAATATGCCTTTCAAAAGGTATGATGCTGGTGGAATCCTGTCTAGTGAGGCTTCTGCCTAAAACAACAATCCTTCATAGAGTTCCTTCTCCTCTTGGATCATAGAGTTGGAAGCGGCTTTGAGAATCATCTAAGTCCAACCCCCTGCAATGCAGAAATATGCAGCTGCCCCATACGGGGATCGAACCTGCAACCTTGGCATTATCAGCACCATGCTCTAACCAACTGAGCTATTCTGTGCAATGATGGAAACAGGTGATGATATCGCCATGTTACTTGCCTCCCTCCAGCCCTTCTGCAGTAAGCTGATGATGTGGAGCAGGAATGGAGAAATGCACAATGTGCTGATGTGATGTCCCACGTTTTCACTGAGCCACATTACAGTGGTACCTTGGGTTACAGACGCTTCAGGTGACAGACGCTTCAGGTTACAGACTCCACTAACCCAGAAATAGTACCTCGGGCTAAGAACTTTGCTTCAGGGTGAGAACAGAAATCGTGTGGCGGCAGCGTGGGGCCCCATTAACTAAAGTGGTACTTTAGGTTAAGAACAGTTTCAGGTTAAGAACGGACCTCCAGAACGAATTAAGTTTTTAACCTGAGGTACCACTGTACAAGGGAAAGGAGGAGCACTTGACTGTGAGCTGTTATTTTTAGTGGCAGCTCCGTAATTTGGGCATTTCCTTATGTCAAGGGTGGATAATCTTTTTCAACTGGAGGGCCACATTCTCTTCTTGGCAACCTTTGTGTGGGGTGGAGTTACATGCCAAAAGTGGGTGGGGTGAGAGGTAAAAGTGGGGTGGGGGGGCAATGTACATTAATGCTGCCTTTCCACACTGGGCTGGTTTCTACATACACTCACAAATCTCTTTGTATCCATCAAGACAAGCAAGAGGCATAATCAGAATTCAGTGCACACATCCCTGCTGGTCTCATGTGAAATTAAGATATTTTTTGCTCCAACATGCATCACTTTACACTTGTTTACATTGAATTTCATTATACCACCCATTCACTCAGTTTGGAGAGGACCTTTTGGAGCTCATTGCAAGCTTTTTTGTTTTGTTTTAACAGTCCTGAACAATTTAGTGTCATCGGGAAATCTGGCCAACTCACTGCTCACTCCTAACTCTAGAAAATTTATGAACAGGTTAAAAAGCACAGGTCCTAATACCAGTCCTTGGAGAACTCCACTTTCTACTTCTCACCATTCAGAGAACTGTCCATTTATTCCTATTCTTTGCTTCCTGAAATTTAACCAATTCCAGATCCACTTATCCTCTTATTCCTTGACTGCTAAGCTTACTTGGAAATCTTTGGTGAGGGACTTTCTTAAAAGCTTTTTGAAAGTCCAAGTACACTATGTCAACAAGGTCACCTCTATTTATATTTCTTGTTGACACTCTCAAAGAATTCTAATACGTGTGCGAGACAGGACTTTCCCTTGCAGAAGGGAAAGGTTTTGATCTTCTAGTTTATCTTTGACAATACTTTCCTTCAGTTTTCTAGGGACAGACGTGAAGCTAACTGACCTGTAAAATTTGTGTTACATTGGCTACTTTCCAGTCCTCAGGCATGGAGGCTGATCTGAGGGATAAGTTACATACTTTCTCATAAAGGGTTTGTTTTTGCCCTGTACTAAGGGCTATTCTGAGATCTCAGACAGCTGATGCTGGGCTAGATGCACAAACATTCTGACCTTGTTTAAGGCAGCTTCCTATGTTCCTATCTCCTTAAAGGTCGGCTGTGCATAGATTGTGGTGACATATTAAAGTCTATGAGCCTCAGAAGATCAGGGCTGAAAGTAAGCACCAGGTGGATCATAGAACACTTTAATGGGATTATTTTACAGTGGAAGATGCCCTGAAAGTACTTGAAGACACCTCCATTGAGGTTCAACATGAATGAGAACTGCCCCAAGAGTTCAAGGGAAGCTGTGAGAAGTGTTCATGCACCTCCTCTCTCTGTTGCATCCAAGTCTCATCTGGGAATGACTGATGTCCAGTCCTAGGGCAGCTGAATCACTGCAGGGATTGGAGGTAAATCTGTGCTGTGCTTGGACCATAAACTGGCAGGTTGTGTAGCCTCTTAGGGTGGCTGTATGGCCTTTCCAGATTATGGTCTTCTATTTGAACAAATCCTTTATTTGAGGGCTGCCAACCCAAATCTGGTTTAAAGATCAGGAACCACTAAAAAGGGAGAGTAGGGGCATTGATGTTGCCCATAAACTGTTAGCTCAGAAGACTAAGCCACCATGGAAGTCAGCTGGTTAGCCTTCTCCACTATGTGTGTGATGCAGATGCTCTTTTTCAGCAATCCGTAACTGATCCTAAGCTACCTGTTAGAGCAGGGTTAGGGAATCTGTGGCTATGCTGGTTGGGTGAGACTGATAGGAGCTGAAGTCCAACAACATCTGGAATTCCTCAGTTGGTAGAGCACGGGGCTCTTAAGTTCAGGGTCGTGGAGTTTGACTTTGGGCAAAAGATTGCTGCATTGCAGGGGGTTGGACTAGATGACCCTCAGGGTCTCTTCCAACTCTACAGTTGTGTGCATGGTATCTGGAGGGCCACAGGTTTCCCCACTCTTGTAGATTAGAACTGGGCCATCACAGTATAAGGGGGATCCAGAGTGGCCCTTAAACTGTTCTGCTCTATGTTGTCCTGCGATAGTGTAATTGCATGCATTATCAACTAATTATCTGGCATGTGGCCCCTTTAAAATACAGTGGTACCTTGGGTTACAGACGCTTCAGGTTACATACACTCCAGGTTACATACGCTTCAGGTTACAGACTCCGCTGACCCAGAAATAGTACCCCGGGTTAAGAACTTCAGGTTAAGAATGGACCTCCGGAACGAATTAAGTTCTTAACCCGAGGTGCCACTGTAAAGAGATATGATTCAGGAGACCAGCTCCTGGAAAGCTGACTCAGAGGTGCAGCTTGGCTGGAGAATAAGTTATCATTACTCCTCTCTGCATGTTTTGTTCCACCATTAACTCAGCTCATAGTGAGTTTCTACATCAACAACAGAAGACAAAACACACTGTCATAATATTGTCTTGTTTCCTTTCCAGATGCCCCACAGCCAGTGAGATTGACTGCAAGAAGATTCTACGAAAGCAAAGAATCACAAACATTGGGTCTGTAGCCAGAAAGGCGATGTAATGAAAACGAGTCCAAAGAAAGACGTCTTTCCTTGATAAAGTATTGAATGATGCTCTTGTCTCGTGGATGCTGGAGATTGCTAGGGCTGGCCCATCAGTCAGGCTTATTAGATTGTCTTGAGGTTTATCCAAGGCTAAATTAACCCCAAAGCAAAAAAATGGATGATGTGGTGTCTCTCTCAACTCAGCAATTAGATGGCTTTAAACACCAACAACACAAGGCAAATAACTGTATAATTAAGTAGTTACTGAGCTGTGGTCTTGACTGCAAAGCGTGTCTTAAAACTTTCACTCTCTCTGACCAGACATGGCTACAGAGTCATCAAAGCTGTAGCATGATAAAATGAAAACAAGCCCTCTATATAAATTAACTGGGAATATATCTGACAACTTTGCTCTTATCTTCAGCTTCCTCTCTTGGGGCATGCCCCATTCACTTCCATAGGATTTGCTTTTAGACCAGGCTGTTTAAATAATCAACGCCGCACCTTCATTTCTTGTAGATGTGTTGCAGTCATTGTGGTTGGGCCTTGAGACTAGCTGGCAACAACAATTAAACATGAATCATCTTTCAAAGAAAACGTTTTCTACCTGGTAGATAAATTCTGCGAAGAGTTCAGTTATCCTGTTGCAACGAGGAAACAAACAAACAGCGCAATCATTTTAATAAGCAGGAAGGTGCCCTGCTGTTAAATCTAATGCTGCGATGGCACCTAAGGTGTTTAGAGTCAAAGGGTTTGGTTTTAAGCATCCATCTGTATGACGCTGCCACGCTCCTAACGTCGGCACTTTAGCATTAATTGGGAAATGTCCCCACTTTCCCCGTGCCTTGCCTCCACTGTGAACCTGGGTGTGCAAGTTGTGTGGCTGAGGCTGATCCCACAACATTCTTGTATGTGGTATGGACTTTGGGAGGTTAAAATTATCATTGTTACTCCCCTCCACACACACTGACTCACTCACTCACTTACGAACAGGGCAAGCCTGCCCATGAGGCTCAGTGAGACAGTTGCTTTAGGCGGCAGACAGCTGGGAGGGGCAGCAGATTCAGGCCCCAATGTGCGTGTTGCTCGCCACCTCCTCTGCTTGTCACCCTCCTCCTGCTTTGCTGCTTCCTCCTGCTGCCTGCTTCTCTCAGACTCCATTTTTTATTCCTTGTGGCCCACCCAGTTTTCCCCAGGCTGCCTCCAATTACCCCAGTCAGCGGCAGTGGTGGTGGGGGCAATGCGCTCTGTGTGGGGCTACCTTTGAAGGTGACGCGGAAACTACAACTAATCCGGAATGTGGCAGCTAGACTGGAAACCGGGAGCAGCCGCCGAGACCATATAACACTGGTCTTGAAAGACCTACACTGGCTCCCAGTACATTTCCGAGCACAATTCAAAGAGTTGGTGCTGACCTTTAAAGCCCCAAATGGCCTCGGTCTAGTATACCTGAAGGAGCGTCTCCACCTCCATCGTTCTGCCCGGACACTGAGGTCCAGCTCTGAGGGCCTTCTGGCTGTTCCCTCGCTGCGAGAAGCCAAGTTACAGGGAACCAGGCCTTCTCGTTAGTGGCACCCGCCCTGTGGAACACCCTCCCACCAGATGTCAAAGAGAAAAACAACTACCAGATTTTTAGAAGACATCTGAAGGCAGCCCGGTTTAGGGAAGCTTTTAATGTTTAATAGGTTATTGTATTTTAATATTCCGTTGGAAGCCACCCAGAGTGGCTGGAGAAACCCAGCCAGATGGGCAGGGTATAAATAATAAATTATTATTACAGTGGTACCTTGGGTTAAGTACTTAATTCGTTCTGGAGGTCCATTCTTAACCTGAAACTGTTCTTAACCTGAAGCACCACTTTAGCTAATGGGACCTCTTGCTGCTGCCGCGCCACCGGAGCACAATTTCTGTTCTCATCCTGAAGCAAAGTTCTTAACCCGAGGTACTATTTCTGGGTTAGCGGAGTCTGTAACCTGAAGCGTATGTAACCTGCAGCGTATGTAACCCGAGGTACCACTGTATTATTATTGAAATTGAAATTGAAATACTTTATTGTCACTTGTACACAGTGAGGTTACACATTATTATGAGG